TTGGATGAGGCAATCCCACATAATGGTAAATCACGGTTTAGGAGGGGCCAGCGTTATCCCTTTTCGACGACCTTGTTAGGACAATTTCTTTGCACCTCCAAAGTGGTCAACTCGAGATGGGTTAGGCGCCGTTCTTTCAACATAGCATCTGTGCAATTCGCAACTGCAGCAAGGTCGTTTGGCAAAGCGCGCGCGCACGGCGTCGCCCGCATGGTGCAACGAGACAGGGAGGCCCTCATGGTATTATTAGATTTCATGTGTGCGGAAAGATTTCGTGCTTTCGGCGATGTGCATCCAACGCCCCCAACCCCCAAACGCGCAAATGCTTACCGAATGGGGCCAGCGGAAACACAACCTGCCCGCCCCGCCACCCGTTCCTGCCACGTCATGGGGGAGAGCTTTGGGAGGCGACCTTGGGGAAGGGGGGCGGGGAATAAAGGGGAAACCCAAGATAAGTTCGCAAACAACTTTAGGGCGTCAATCAAAGAGCGGGGCCCCAAACAAATCAACGTCGGAACCCGAACAACAAACGAATTGACCCCGAAATGTTGCACAAGGTGGCCCGTTCCCACTCCCACTCCCCGCCCCGCGGGAGAGCGCAGTCCGTCGGAAGAGAGCCCCGATCATCTCAATGTAGCCTCTCTGGTGTGTCCCCTTGGCCCTGCTAGTGTTGCGACCCACCTTTGTTGCTTGCGCTTCCTGCTTCAACTATCCCCCCCCTCTGCTGCCACTGCCGCTGCTCCTCATCCGCTTCCTGCTCTGGCCCCTGTGGTCCTCATACTCCGTCTCGTAAGCACCCCTTCCAACGCTGGTACTGGCGCAGTGCAATCAACCCTTCGATCTGTTTGCAAAATGTGGGCGCGTTAACTTGTCTTGTGATGTGATGTCCATCCTCCTCCGTACCGACCCCTCCACTCCGCCCCTCCGTATACAGCCATTTTGGCTTCTGGTGCCCCCGCCGAGGGGGCCACGCTTGCATGTGGCGGGCGCTGCTGGAGCAGGGGCCCGCGGCTGGAGCAGACGGAGGAGGTGGCGCTCCGCCGCCGGCCGCAACCCCGCCGCCAGCCGCAGCTCCTGCGGCGCCTCCAGCCGCAGCTCCGCCCCCAGCGCCTGGCAGGCGCGGCCGCGGCCGCGGGCGAGGGCGAGGGCGCGGCAGGGGCGCCGCTCCAGCAGCCGTTCCAGCAGGGGCTGGCCGCGGCCGCGGGCGGCGCCTCAGCGCGACCCACAAGGCCAGGATCAGAGCTGGGGTGTTCAAGCACATATCCTGGCGGTCCAGCTGCCTAGCTCGGACCGCCAGGGGCGCCACGTTCGCCAGGGAGGTGGCGACCGCGTGCTTCGGGTGCGCCGCAGTGGACGCCAAGGACGTGGGTGACTCTCGACGCCACCTCTCTTGCAACGGCGCCAGGTGCCATCAAACCTCAACCTCAACCCCCTGTGAGCCACGCGCGCCAAACAACACACACAGGCAGGCGCCTCTGGCTCGGAGGTGGGAGTTTGAGGTTTGATGGCAGCGGCGCCGACGCTTGCGAGGTGGTGCATGAGAGTTTTCCAGGATGCGCTGCTCAGAACATCAGAGATCGAAGCAGCGGGTTTGAAGATCGTCGTGGACACCCGCAAGTTGGACAAGAGGGATTCGTTCCGATGTACAGTTTCTCACGTGCAGTCTCAGGCGGCAGGCCTTCGGGACTTCCTGCTGGCGACCCCGTCTGACCAGAGCGGCCTCCTCATCACGGCCACGATGGATGACGCCGAGATGTGGGTCAGGTCACCGCCGCCACTACCTGGTCAGCAGCCTGGCCATGAGGAGGGCGCCCCCAACCAGCAGGTTGACAAGAATTGCCGACGACGTGGTATGAATACACGACGGGCTGTTTTGAATTTGTCGCAGACGCTTCACGTCATCCCGCTGATGCCCGACGGTTTCCCGATTCGGGCGTGCGAGGTAGCAACACCAGCAGTGCCCCTCCCGAGGGGGAATTTTGGAACGATATGCAACAGGTGGAAGAGGTGGAGCGTTTTCCCAAGCAGGGGTGTCAACATAGACAAGCACGATGTTTGTGGTCCAGCGTTCCGTGCGATTGCTGAGAAACTTTTTTTTTTTTTTTTTTTCGAAAGACGCCCACGTGTGCAATGGGCTGTTGCAAGGATCGGTTGAACGAGCATCCGTTCTATCCAGGGACACGCCTGATGACTTCACGGTGTTTGGGACCATGTGTTTCGCGCACCAGCTTGTTTTGTCGATGAAGCCGAACTTTGACCACCAATCCGATCCGATCACGGCCATGACACGGGCTGGGCACCTCTGGCAAACATCTCGTTTTCGTGACCGCTTCCAGGGCGCAGTTGACGGTATTGCGAGCAAGGCTGTGTTCATGGAGGTGCCAGAGGAGTCGGATGACGTGAGGCGCTGGAAACTTAAGACTCGAAAGATCATTCAGCTTACCACGCCCGCTCGTGACTTAGAGCATGTAGATGTTGATTTTATCGTCATGGTTTTGAATTCAGACCCAGATGCCGATGACATTGTGCACAGACATTATCCAGAGTGCACCTGCGGCGGCCGACGGCACTTCAAAACGATGGTCAAGGAAGCATTCGGTATGTTGTTTTCTGCTGGCTGTCCTGTCTGTTTGATGTATCGGTTCAAAGGTTTCGAGCATGCAAGTAGCTTCATGTTGCGAGGCATGCTTCTCTTCAACATTTTACCTCGGTGCTTGCACCAGATGTTCGACAAAGAGTCCCTGGAGCAGGCGGAGGCTGCGGCGCAGGCTGCAGCGGCACAGGGCGACGTCAACCATTCGGCTAACAACAGCATCAGGGCGAAGAAGCTCACCACCTTTGTGGATCGCGACCGCGAGACCAAATCGCTGCACATGGCTGTTGTTTGCAATGCTCCATTCCGGGTTTACTTGAATCGGTTGTTCAAGGCGGATGCGGCCAGGCAGAAGTTCGTGAGCCTCCAGGGGTACCAGTCGCCAGAGCGCCCAGATGACGAGCTTCTAGACCAAGTGGCCGAACTTGAACTTGCAGCGCGAGATTCCCGTGACAGTGTTCGAATGTTCTTGGACGGCACCAACTCCTTGGCTTTGCAGCGCGGTTGTGCAGACTTGTTGTTTGACAGTGGGGCTAGTGGTTGGCATGATGCAGGTTGGACCGATGAGCAGTTCTTCAGCGCATCACTGAGGCTTTTGTCTGCTTCTGGTTCTGCATACTTTCGCACGGAGTTCAGGTTTCAGCAGCCGAGGTTCGATATTCTCCGAGCGTGTGTAAACGAGTACAGCGAGGATGGCATAGCAACCCTTGTTGGCGATCTTCGTGGCAGATTCCGAGCTTGCGCGTCGTGTGTTGACGTTTCGTTTTCAGTTCCATGGGTTGGCAAACTGGGTGGGCCTCGATCTCGACAGGCGCATCGATTTCTCTTCAACTGCTTGGCGTCACTGCCCCTTACTTCTTTGAACGAGGAGCGAAAACATTTGCTGGGACAGGAGATAAAGCGAAAGCGAGGTCGCACAGTCTCGCCGTTTGCATTGTCAGTGCGCACTTACAGGAAGTTCGTTAGGGCGAAGCTCTTTGCCAAGATGGCCGCTATCAAAAGTGACGTCTGCAAGCGCCATGGCATCAAGCCCCTCCAGATTACGACCGCTATCAAGCGGCTTAGTGGGCGCAAGGGTTTTCGACGGATTGCCAATGATAAGCTTGTTGCCAGAGAGGGCAAGGTCAGGAACATTTCAGCGTGGTCGATGTTCCGTTCCCTCAACAAGGCACCGCACCTTCGGCCCCATAGCATAGAACACACGCAGGACATGCAAAGGCTTGGGAGACTTTGGCGGGAAATCAGATCAGATCCACTTGCTCGTGCTGTGTATGATCAGATGGCCGATGCGAGGAACAACAAGGAAATCCATGCCCAGATGAACCCCCTCGCCCCCCTCGCCTACGAGGACGAGCTCGTCCGACACCGCATCAAGAGGCGCCGAGCATCGAGTGCCATCAGTTCGATTGGGGATCACAAGTGCCCGTGGCCCGTTGTTTCGAAATATTGCTGAGTTACGTGAGCTAATGCCCTGTAAAGCTTTTTTTTTCATCGGTCTACGTTGGCCGAGGTTGATAATTCGCATGCGCCCCCAGGTCTCAGAAACCATCACGCGTTTCTGGTTCAAGTTCAAACCGCTTGGATGACATCGGGGCACTTGGGCCGAGGGGTGGTGGGGACGGGTGTCAGGAGGGCCCTGAGGGGCCTTCCGATGGCGGGCTGAGCGGCTGGCCTTCTCCCGACAGCCAGGCTGGTCCATTCTGGGCCTCGAGCGGCCGTCACCGAAGATGTTTCCCGTGGGGGTTGGGGGTTTGGGGTGGGAGTGAGGGCGATGCAAGTGTCCTTCTCATCTCTCTCTTCCTCGTCCTCCTCATGCTCTCCCTGCTTCTCCCCCTGACTCCCCTTCGTCATCCTCCTTGGGGCCTCCACATCCTTGGAGCCCCCCATCTCCGCCTACCCGACCACAGCCCCGCAAACAAACCGCCCACCCACCACCCGCCCACCGCCCACCCACCACCCGCCCAACACCCAGCTGCCACCACCCACCGCCCACTATCCACCCACCGCCCACCAACCACCCACCCACCACCCACCCACCACCCATCGCCCACCCACCCGCCACCCACCCACCCACCGCCCACCCACCACCCACCCACCACCTACCCACCCATCGCCCACCCACCACCCACCCACCACCCACCCACCACCCACCCACCACCCACCCACCACCCACCCACCACCCACCCACCCACCCGTCAGCAAGCTGCGCGTTGATCAAAGCATTGGGCCTCCATCCTCCATCCATGGGCTCTGCGCCTCGCCGCCGCCACCCGCGAGGGTCGCGGGGCTACGTTCGAGTTGCATGACTTTTTAGTTCAGGACGTTATGCTGCGATCTATCGCCAGGCCGCTAGGGTGGCCCATCGGCTGCGCAGCAACACGCTCCCTTCTCCATCCTCATCCTCCTCCCGACTCCACTTCCGCTTCCGCATGCTCCTTCGACAGAGGGCGCGCGATGGGAGCACCCACCCCTTCCAATCTAAGCTTGGACGTCAAAACAAACAGCATCGTCTTTCTCCACCTGGGGCCTGCATTACCCTCCGCAAACATCTACCCCCCCGCATCTCCTCCACCGTTTTTTTTTGGGGGTGGCGCACGCAATGCTAGGCTGTGCAAGCAGGTGGGTGGGCAACCGTGCCCATCGAGCGGGCTCATATTTAGTCCCCATTGCGACCCCCATGTACTGGCGAGCTGGCGCTCAGATAGACTGCCCTGGCATCGGCTTGAAGCCGAGTCTGGTCAATGTCTCCGACACCGACCAAGCCATTGCAGAAGAGGTCCGTCGTTTGTTTGAATTCGATCCAGAGCCAAACCCTAACGGTGTCACAGTCGCCTCCGAATGCGTGTGCTGTCAATCTGGCTTGTGCACCACAGATTATTACTACGAGTACGTGCGCACAGGTCAAATAACGGAGCGGAAACAACTTGTCTCCCTAGCAATGTGCCCGCTTCTTCTCTCTCTCTTTCTCGCTCCCCACCCCGCCACGTTTAAGTTGTTGTGGTCGTTGAGGTCCTTGGGTTCGGACGGTGCCGCACTGCGCACCACCAGGGCATGTGCCAAAATCGATGTCAAGGCGGGGTGGGGAGGAGGAACGGGGAGGGGCAGCATGACTGCCCGACCCCATTAACTGTTCTCGAATAGTGTGGCACATATCCCACTTCCAGGAGGGCGGCGGCGTTGACTTAAAACCCAGCGGGGGGGAGAGAGAGCGAGAGAGAGATAGAGGAGGGAAGCGGGACATGTTCCAGGGAGTCAGTTGCTTCGTGCGCCTGGTAGGCACCCGAAACTTGTATATGCACCTTTCGGCCCTTGGCGTCAAGCACACGTCGTTGCCCCTCCATTTGCAGTTTAGCGCAGCTGGTGTTGAGTCAAACGTTCTCCTCACGTTCAAGTATGGCGTCGGGGACTTTTTGTGCGTTGCCAGGGTGAAGGTGTTTCCAAGTGGCAGCTGGGGGTTGGAGAGACACGCCCAAGGGAAAATCATTTCTATGCCGTCGCATCTCCTTCTGAAGGAATTTCTGATAGAGGCTCGAGGGAATAACGGTGGTCACCCGCTTCGTGTAACAAGGCTTGTTATAAGTAGGCTGGTCAGGGCTCCTCGTGAGAACAATATCGAGTTTGCTTATTTCTTGGATGAGTGGTCTACCCTGGACCTGGACTTAGTCACGCAACAAAAAGCTAAGAAACGAAAAACAGGCGACCCCAAACCTTGGATGCCGTTCGGGCTGAGTTTTGACGGACCTGATGGGCCAGCGCCACCACCGCCTGGACCTGAACATCCCCACGGGCTTCCTGGATGCGGAGGGCTGGGGGCGGCCGACGGCGAGTTTGGGGCAGAGTCCGACGCGTCTGACTTGGGAGGTGAGTCTATCATTCCAGAATGCACATCCAGTGATGAGGGGGATTTGATGCCTGAGCCTGAGTCCGATGGCCCAGGCCTTGATGAGCCGCCGCCGCCGCCTTTGCCACCACCCCCTGTCGGCCCTCATGGTGAGGAGGCTCATCCATGGGGGTTGGCTGGCCTGATCGGATACGGGAGAGCTCCCACGAGCCGAGCCGCGTGTGGGATCTGCGGGAAGCCAATCGAGAAAGGCACGTGGCGAGTTGAGCATCGGATGACTAACAGCATTAATGCACGAACCATGTGGAACGTCAAGCGAATCCACATTCA